TCAGTCAGGACGAATGGCCCTATCACATGGTCAATGAGTAAGAAACTAGGTTATCAAGGCTTATAAGAGATCTCTCCACCCCCAACACTCTGAAGACGCTGACAGGGGATCAGCGAAAGCTAAGTTTGTTTTAGTATTGTAAATAGTTGCTTTTATTGTTTTAAATTTTTAACAATAAACAACTGATTTATATTCCTCCCAGAGTTCGAAGATTTTATATTATTAAATAGATATGCCCAGGATTTGGATTTTTACAGTCAGTAAGGACGTATATGTATATGTATATGTGTATATATATATATATATATATATATATATATATATATATATATATATATATATATATATATATATATATAATATATAACATACTGAAGTTTTGTATACTAGCAATGGCAGCTAGTTATTTCTTTATTTATCAGAGCCTCTGGTACTAGAAGTGATGGAAAATCAGCACTTCAATTGTTACCAAGTCAGAAAGACAATGGTATTGATTATCTATAGAAAAATGGGAAGCAACAGAAGAATCCATAAAGATTTTAACCAAAACTATCTGTAAATCTAGAGAACAACACAATTATCTAGAGATTGGAAGAGATAACTCCATGTATTGATATTAAAGAAAGGAGATTTAAGAAAGCGGACAAACTATTGTACAATATTTTTAAATTCACATACTACAAAAATAATGCTTAGGATGGTCAAATGCAGATGCCTACATGGCATGCCTAGTGCTGATTCTCAGGAATCTGACCCAAGATCGTCCTGTGGGACAGCAGGTTGGATTTCAGTCTGAGGAATTTTGGAGAATTCAATCAGCTGAGACTGATCAACCTGATCGGGAGATTTGCTGATCACCAAACCCTAGAAGCAGCTGTGCCTGCTGTCAGAAAGTGAGGCATTTCAACTGGAAAGACCATTCAGCCTCAGAGCACACAGTGTGCAATGGAGGGCAGAGCAATGGCGTTCAGTGATTCTCCTTGTTAAGTATTTGGTTCTTGAAGACATTAAGTGAGACGAGTGTTGAAACAGCAACAAGTTTATTTAACTCTGAACAGAAGCAGCTCAAATAGCTGCTGTGCAGCTATTTATATGGTTAGCCTCCAGGCGGCAGCCAATAGCTTTAAAGTAACAGTTTCCCACCCAAAACCTAATTACCAGCCTGGAAATAGCAAGTCTGGCTTAAGTAACAGCAACCATTACATAACAACAGAATCTAGATCAGACATTCAAACAAGTGATTAGACATTAAGCAAGTGATTCAAAACAATTGTGACCAATATATTACACCCCTTCCCCCTAGATAGTTCAAACTCTTAATTGTTTGACATAATTTTGCAGATACTTAGGTGGCCTTTTTGACCTTTCAGAATGCCTAAGCGTTGTTGGGGTTCCCTGGTCTACCTGCTTGCCTGCCAGGCTGGGTAGACCAGGACTCAGAGATTCAGTGGAGTCGGTTTGCCTCGAGTCCTTTTGGCTGGCCAGTCCCGGTCGGTCCAAACCAAAGTCCACTCATGCAGCAAAGTCTGCAGGGCTATCTCTCAGCGCCATTTGCCTGTCCTGTTCAGCTGATGCAGTCTGTGTGTCCGGAGGAGGCTCTACTACGGCCATTCCCCATCTCCTTGAGGGAGGGTCCTGTCGTAGCGTGCAAACCCTTCTGTTGGACCCCTGTCATACGGGCCCTGTGTGGCTCTCTTGGGAATCCTGAGCCGGTGACTTATCTGTCAGCCGCTGACACAGCTGATCAATGTGCCAGCAAATGATCCTAAGAAACCCCAAAGATAAAACTGAGTTAGAAAATCAAGGATTATATGAAATCCCATGCACTGCTTGTCCCAACACATACATCGGACAAACCAACAGAAGAATAAGTGCACGGATTGAAGAACATAAGAACTCAGTCAAAAAAGAGGAATCAACATCTTCCCTGGTCCAACACCTTAAAGCCACAGGACATGAAATTGACTTTAAAAATATCAGAACTATCGCCAAAACTGAACATTTTAATAACAGAATAATCAGAGAAGCCATCGAGATAGAAAAACGCCCACACAGCATGAACAAGCGAGATGATACCTCCCGCCTACCAGCCATTTGGAAACCCGTCCTTATTGACAAACGACTCCCTAACACAAAAAATGATACCAGACCCACACTCACAAAAACCACACAGGATGTCAACACCACACATCCACGCAAAAAGCAAACCCAAAGCCACACCGATGATGAGGCACGACCACAAACCAGAAGCCAGACCACAGCTGCATCATTACCCACTTTAAACCCCTCCAATCCATACATGAAGCAAACTGACACCCACCATGAAGATGAGACACGACCACGAACGCGAAGCCAAAAAATAGCAAGGCAGCCCACCATCTTAAATCCCCCTGCAACTCAGACTAACCTGAGCACAACAAAGCCCCCACCCAAACAGAACACTCCCCCAGCCAATCAGAGCACAGCCAACACCCCAGCCAATCAGAGCACAGCCAACACCCCAGCCAATCAGAGCACAGCCAAGCCCCTAACCAATCAGAACACACCTCCACCCAATCAGAACACAGCCAAGCTCCCACCCAATCAGTTCATACCTCCACTGGCAGTTAAAAGGAAGAAACAGCTAAGACCACACATTGTTCCTCGAAGCATGAAGCTGAAGACGCCAGCCTGAAGATGACGAATGGGACTTCATCGAAACGTCACCAAGACACTTCCAATTTTACGCGGGAGAAAACCTGAATAACCAAAGACCTACACACACACACACACACACACACACACACACACACACAGGGCTTTTTTGTCATAGAACGACACCTTTTTTGGATGGAACCTTGTAGGGTAAGCAAGGCGGGTTGTATGACGTGTGAGTTCTGGCACCTTTTTTTTTTTTTTACAAAAAAGCACTGTGTGTGTGTATATGTATGTGTGTGTATATATATATATATATCAAAAAAGGAAAAAAATGGACCCAGGAAATTACAGACCTATCAGCCTGACCTCAATATCTGGGAAGATTCTGGAAAAGATAATCAAACAACAAATCAGCAAGCACCTAGAGGCAAACAAAGTCATTACTAAAAGCCAACATGGGTTCATCAAAAACAGATCATGCCAAAAACAAATCTTATTGCATTCTTTGACCAAGTGACAAAATTAATGGATCAGAGGAATGCTGTGGATATAATTTACTTGGACTTCAGTAAGGCATTTGATAAAGTAGATCACAACCTACTACTTGATAAGATAGAAAAATATGGGTTAGACAGCATCACCACCAGATGGATCCGTAGCTGGCTGACCGCCCATACTCAGCGTCTGGTCCTCAATGGAACTGCATCTACATGGAGGGAAGTGTGTAGTGGGGTGCCCCAGGGCTCTGTTCTGGGCCCAGTGCTCTTCAACATCATCAACGATTTGGATGAGGGGATAGATGGGGAAATCATCAAATTTGCAGACGACACCAAGCTGACAGGAATAGCCAACACTCCAGAAGACAGGCTTAGGATACAGGAAGATCTGGACAGACTTGAACTCTGGACTCTATCTAACAAAATGAAATTCAGTGGTGAAAAAAATAAGGTTCTACGTTTAGGCAAGATAAACCAAATGTATAGGTATAGTATAGGGGGTACCTTGCTCAATAGTAGTAACTGTGAGAGGGACCTCGGAGTCCTAGTGGACAATTACTTAAATATGAGCCAGCAGTATGCTGTGTCACCACCGTCCGTAGTTGTCCAATGAAACACAGTCCAGGAACTCAGGTACGAGGTGCTTAGCAAGATGCTCCCACTGCTTTACATAACTGTGCCATGCCCTGAAGCCCCACCCCCCCCAGCAGCAAACCAGCATCTGCCCAAAAAACATAAAACCCCCCAGGTCCATTTCCGTCCTTCCCCTGGCCTGGCCATGCCTTCATAGTCTCACCTGGTTGACAGCAGCCTCCTCTCACCCTACGGAAGCCTCCGGCAGTTCTCAGCGGTGAGCGGCGGCTTTCCCCTAATGCTCAGCTGCTGCGCTGATGTCAGCAGCCTCCTCCCACCTCTTGGAGGCCTCTGGTGGCTCTTGGCGATGACCAGCTGCTTCCTGCAGCTCAGCTGCTATAGCCGATGTCGGGCCTCCCCCCCGGCCACCAGTGAAGCTCCACTTGGAACAGGAGGAAGGGCAGGGCCACCCCTGCTGTCCATCTGCCCCTTTCGGCAGCTAGCTCGACACTGGTTTTGGGCGGCATCTGAGTGGCGTCTGGCTGCTCCGGTTCATGCTCCGGTTCACCCCCCCACCGGTGAATGGCAAGCCCTGTGGGGCTTGACAGGCAGCCCCCTCTACCAGGGCTCCTCCTGAAAGACAAAAGGTCGTGGGTGAGCATACACTGCTGCAGGCTCCGTCACCTGGCTTTCCCGGGCAATGACGGTGAAATGCCCACACCAACTGAGGGGCGTGGATGTCCTCCTCCCCAACCCATGATACATCAGAGAGGGGGTACCCCTTCCACCTGACAAGATATTGCACTCACCCATGGTGGGTTCAGGAGTCCAGTATCTCCTGTACTTCATAATGCGCACCTGAGACTGGCCCCAGTGCGTCAGTCACAGATTTAGGAAGGGAGCCTTGGACTAGCTTCAGCAGGCTCCCATGGAACACAGGATGTATCTTCCCTAGGAACTGAGGTAGCCATAATTCGTACGGTTACCAGGTTCACCACCTGGACTATTTGGAAGATCCTATGTACTTAGGATCTAGGAAATTACAGTCCAGATAGAATGTGTCAAAACAGTGAAGGAGTGAAATCCAAACTGATATCATTTCCTCTCACAGACAGTATAGCCCCCTTCATTCATCCAGGAGAAATTCCATTCTTGTGACCAGTTTAATCCATCTCAATATATTGGGGACTGCAAAGGATTATCTGGGAGGCCATTTGACCACTAAGGCCTCCATCCTGCCTAGGGACCATCTCTCCATGAACCACATTTTTGTGAGCTCCCATAGACCACTTACAACTTAACATCACATGTTTCAACTTAGCAATTATCTTCACTCACCCCACAGTGCATATATTTGTCTCTATAGAGTAATATAAATGTGCTTTGTGTTGTCCCTAAACAACACAAGCCGATGAAGAACACCAGACACAAGGTGCAGGTTTTGTTTCTTTTTATTGAAGCACTTCAGTAAAAGGGGTCCCAGCCAGCAAAATGCCAGGACCCAGAATGAAGGATTAAGAGAGCTTTACACAATTTCACTAAAGCAGAAAGCAGGACAAGGTGGGATTTATAAGAAATACCATCTAATAAACATTTTAGTAATTGAAGGGTTCTGGAACAAAGGGAAATTGATATGAAATGGTTTCTTACGATTTTGGAAATGAAAACAGATGATCACTTTTCCCAGGACAAGTTTCAAGGCAATGATCCAGATTTTAGGAGCACATCCTGACCATCTTACAATAGAATCTTTATGGGCAAAAGGCTCACAGAACGTTTCAGTCACCAGAGCAGCCACAGATTGATGCAAGCCCTAATACAAAACCTTTCTGCATTGACCACCCATTATACCTGCACAAAGGTTTGATACAGAACAGGAAGAATGGAAAGTAATAGTCTCAGAAATAATTAAGTTGTCTTAAGAGTGTCTTGGTTTTCTTTCATTCATTAGAGTTAGGTGTGGAGAAATGGACTGTGTTAGTATAAAGAGGACAATATAGAGAAGGAGGCATTGGGTCCATATGTGCAAATTTCTTGGAATAGGAAAGATTGGGGATTATTCTGGAGAGGAAGGAACAAACCCTGAAAAACACAGACAGTTCTGAAAAACCCATCCTCCTCATACAAGCCAGTCAAAACTGCTTTCTTTGTATGTTTCCTCCTCTTCAATTCCAGACCACCTTAAGGAAAAGGATTTGTCCATGTCTGATGACCAGATAGGGATAGTTGGTACAAAAAGGAATAAAACCAGCAAACTCCAACAATTTTATGCAATTTGTCTGCATTCAATCACTTGCAGGCTTCATTTCTCAGCAGAAAAGGCTCATCTGTTGGAACAGCACAAATTATGCTGGAAGAGAAGAAATTTGTGTGGTAATGATGAGAAAAGCTCTGGAAGTCAATAAGAAAGACAATTTGCTGTACTTCCTTCCAATGCCTCCCCTCAGAACAAAAGGATGATTGAGAAGTTAACTGGAGATTAAGCTGAGAAGACCATACCCTCCCTCCCCATTGTTGAATTACAACTCTCCACAGTCCTTGTCAGCAGGGGTGACTGTAAGGGAGGGTGAGATTAAGAAAGGCAGGATGGTAGCAGTGCCTGCACTGAAGCCTGTGATCATGAGCATCGTCTTTACTGTTTTCACACTAACACCATTCGTTTTGTATGCCCCTGCCAGCCACCATGCTCTCTAAGATGGATTTTGAGTCTCAGCAAGACCTCACCTGGGAGATTTCATGTCCTCCACTATGATTAAGATTTAGAATAACAGGATGAATATCCCCCAAAGGAAGCAGCTCTGTTGTTCATCTTAGGAAATGGAGTAAGGTAGAATTAGGCATGCTGGCTTAAAGAAATGGCTGAGCCACCATTTTATTTATTTTTATTATTTATTTACTTATTTATACTACCCATCACCTATCCAAAGTGTCTCTGGTTCTGCCCCTGCTTCTTCATTATCCCAAGAGAAAGTCAAAATCAGAAGTTCAAATTTCACCTCAGCTTTTTATATATACTTATCTCTGTTTTCCCACCTCAGACAATTTTCAAAAAGCTCTATAAACCAGAATAAAACAATGTCTAATATTTCACATAAATAGTAGAAGTACATGTTCAAGTATCAATAGGAATTGTCAAATGGTTTCCCAAAATTGTAAGAAAACAGAAGTTTTGGTTTGGAAACCGAGGGGGAGAAAGAGAAAGGGATCCCATTTCTGGTAGCATCACAGGAAAAAGATGGTCCTGACTTTACATCTAATGGAAAAGCTCCTGGAGGAAGGTCCCCACCAGCCTTTACTTCTTCAAATGAATAAGGGCAGGCAGTCATGAGAACTCAATGAACCACTGTCAAGAAATGAAAAAAGACTCATTAAAGAAACTCAGATTGGAAAGTTTTTCATAATGATTGCTGATCATTACACAAGGTTGGATCTTGCAAAGTATAATTATTTCTAACTCCAAATTAGAGTAGTGGTATCCCACTGGAATGACCTGGGTGGGTGTATGACAGGTGCAGTCAAATAGGGCCCCTAAAGAGATGGGAACAGTAGGCAAGCCAAAAGAGTAAATTGAATGCTTTTCAGCTCCTTTGTTAATGTTCCAACCTACTTAAAGCAAAACACTCTTTGTGTCACTTCCCTTCTCTCCATAATTAAAAGTCATCCTGTCTTACCAAGTTTATGTACTTCTGTTGCTGTCTGAGCATCTCCCAGTCCTCATTCATGGAGATAAGCTTCCTGCCAGTCCTGCCCATATTCCTTCAAGCTGCTGCAGAAAGACAAAGGAGAAAGGGATTGATGGCAATGAGAACATCTTCCCCAGGCAATCTCTTCTGTGCTCTTTCCGGCTTCAATCTCTTCTAGATATGCCAGTGCCCAAAAGGAGCCTCCCTCAGCCATGAACTTACTGCAATACATCTGCAAAAGCTGTGAGGATGGGCTTGCACACATAGTGAACACCATGCTTGGCACAAAGAGATTTCACCAGAGGAGCCACCTTGTAATAATTGTGTCGAGGCATGGTGGGGAAAAGGCTGCAAGAAGAGAAAAGAAGAGAAGAGGGTGGCAGGTGACTATCCCAGAACTTTTGGTAGCTGCATAACATGGCAGCCTTGCTTAACATTAACCATGTGTGATGTATGACATTTCTGCGGTCTGGCCTTTGCTCCGGCTCATACTCACTGATGCTCAATCTGGAAGTTCAGATGCCCAGTGAACCAGTCATTGAACCAGGAATGATCAACATTGCATGTTCCTGTGAGCTAAGGGAGAAAGAGACAGTGGATGAAGCTCTCCAATCAGCTCTTTTCTTTCCAGCCACTGCTGCTTCCTATCATAGAGAGATTCTGTAACAAGCAGCTCTTATTCTTGGCTCGTGGGTTTGGGCTTCTGTTTGGTTTCTCTTTGTTCATTCTGGGTTTTCTAAACATTTGAATGTAAACACTCAACTCAGGCCAGCTCTAATGGACAATGTACATTGTACAGTAACCTTGTGCCTAAGAGAATGGCACTTCCATCTTACAGGCCAGACATGCACAATCTGAGGGTCCAAGAACAATTGTTATCTCAATTTGATTGGAGAAAACAAAAAAAGGAGAACAGGAAGAGAACATTTTAAAATATAAGACTGGAAAGTAGGCATTTATCTTTAGCTTTAAGTACAGTAAACAGAAATGAAAGTGAGAGTCAGTTTGGGGTAGTGCTTAAGGCATCAAACTAGAAACCAGAAGATTGTGAGTTCTAGTCCTGCTTTAGGCACAAAACCGGCTAGATGATCTTGGGCCTGGCATTCTCTCTCAGCCCTAGGAAGCAGGCAAGAGCAAATTACTTCAAAAATACCTTGTCAAGAAAATTGTAGGGACTTATCCAAGCAGTTGCCAGGAGTCAAAAATGACACGAAGGCATATACACACACACAAATGGAATGAAATAAGTTGTAGCTTTTATCCTGATTCCTCCTTACAGTTTTTGAGATGGCATGTCCAGTCCAACATTCAGAAGCCAAGTGTGAATATCAGCACATTTAAAAATGGTATTGACAACTGTACTCTCCATTTCCACCTAAGAGCCTGTTGACCACTAGGGCCAACACATAGATAAGGAGAAGGTGTCTGTTTCTCATGAGGCCTATGGTTAATTAAAGAAGGATGTTTCCTGGTCCTCGCTCCTTCTCTCTCTAGCCTCCCTCTCTACAAGGTGTAGTTCAGATAGAAGTCAGGCTTCCTTTTTCCATAAATTGAACTTTGAACTGTTTGCATTCATTGATAGCTGGGCTGACGTTGTACACTGCATCCAAGACAGTGATACTGTGAAGAATTTCTAACTGGAGCTGTCTGCTGCTTATTACTCTGCATATGCTCAGCACATCCTTTAATATGGATCTTGCTCAACTCAAACACCCACAATGTGAACCCCTTTTATATATGCCTATCTGCCAATCCATACAAAACTTAAGTTCTTCTTTTTTCCCAAAGGTTATAATGACTAGAGTACTTTAGTGGTAGTCATGAAAACCCTCTGTTCAAAGTCCATGAAACCCAAAGCATTAACGGGTTAAGTGAAAGAAAGATGGTGCTTCTGAGCAGAAAATGGAAATATTCTTACCTGGCAAGAGACCCAGTCCAAATTCTGATCATAACTGATGTTCATTGGAATGTGATTCACTTGAGAGACCCAAATAAACCATGCGCTTTCTAGGAACCTGTGGAAATAAGTAATTTTGAGAAATAAAATAATTAGAAAATTTTTACAATTTTGTTATCATTGTCTTTATCATTATTATAACTTTTATCATTGTCTTCTCTGACAAGCCACTCTTGTCTTCCAATTTTATCTATTGACTTTGCCCTCACAAAGTCCACCACTTTTTTCAGGGTTTATCTTCCAGTGGAAGGCAAGTAATTAAAAGTAAGTGAATAACTTATTTCATTTGTTACACAGGAAGGCATTTATTTAATTATACTTCAAATGTTCAAGGTCTTCCAATGCACACAGAACAATAATTCCCAGGGATATCAGCATCATGGGAATCCTGAGGTCAGAGAACATCACATTCCTTCATCAGTTATATTATTATTATATTTCAATTCAAGATGGAGAACATACTCAATACTCCTTGCTCCTATTTTCCCCACAACTACCCTAGGAGTTGTGTTGGGCTGAGAGTTTATGACTGGTCCCAGGCAGCTTTCATGCCTAAGACAGGTCTGGAACTTCTTTTTCTGTTCTTGGCCAAAACCTTCACCTGCCACAAACTGGCTCTTCGTTGACATATTGTCTATGGATCACCATTTTGCTGGTGTGGAAAGACAGTTTTTTTTTAAAAAAAAGGAAGAATGTAAAGTCTCTAGGTCAGGGCTTTTCAACCTGTGGTGGGTGTACCACCTGTGGTACTTTGCTATGTGGCAGGTGGTACGCAACTGTCCTAGAGAAGTGTAGAGGAAGAGGGGAATGAGCTGAAGCGACCCAAGCCTGAGGGAGAGGCAGCTGCAGCTGCAAGACTGTCTGGGCTCAGCAGAAGCCCCAGGAGCCTGCAGGGCTCCAGCTGATTGGTTCCAGCTGATTGGCGCTTTCAGAAGCAGCTCAGAGTTGGAGGTGAACTGACGAAAAGGTCAGGGGGAGGAGAGGAGAGGCTGTAAAAGGAAGTGGTTTGGGCAGGAAAGGGGAAAGAAAGACAACAGGGAAAAGTTTAATCCCTTTAAACAAATGTAATTAGTTTTACCCCCTTTAATTGAGTTTGTCTATGGCTTTTAGAAAGTTTTCTTTGGAGGTAAACAGGCTTATTTTAAAGCTAAAGCTTTTTGCAATTGCCAGAGCCTTTCAGTCTAGGACTGCAACATTGTGACACATGACATGCCTGACCCAGCTTAAAGACCCCCCCCCCAGAGTTTATGTGTTTATTTTGTAAGCCTTTCTTGCTTTGCATTTGATTCCTGTGTTTTAAGGGTACAGGGAAGGGATTTGGGGGTGCTTTCTTACTACACTGTGGAAAGAGCTCAGAAGGGATAGAGGACGAAGGGCCAACCAGCTAGCTTAGAGCTCTACAAACTTAGCAACTTTATTTTTTTGTAATATATTTTATTGATTTTTTTTTAAATGAATCACTTAATAATTGGTGAACAGTTCGTTGTCTGGGTTTACATTTGCAACACAATCACTAACAATTGATTTCTATAATCCATAATCCACATAATAGTTTTAGTTGATTTCCTCTTTTTCCAAAATATCCTCTTTTGCAAAGATTGAGTTAATACAATTCTTATTGTTTCGACAGATAACAATTAAATATATATTTTCCCAATATTCCTAAAAATAATAATCACTTCAATATAATATTTCTTTTCTATCCAATCATTCTGGTTGCCTTATCATAGATCCTGTTACAGTCCTTATTTTAATTTGTTTCTCCCACCAAATTCTAGATATTCTTACTGGTTAAGATTTTCTAAAAAATTAATTACATTTAAAAATTTAACTCTATTTTTTCCATATGAATCATCTCACACTTTTACATTTCTTAAGGAATAGATAAAACAGTGAAAAAGAAGAAAGGAGAGCAAGAATAAAGAAACATAAAAAATAACATATTACTTAAAATATATATTCCTCCTAAGCTAATATATATTTATTTCCAAAATGTCTTATTCTTTTTAACCATAATTAAAAATATGTTTAATCTTTAAATATTCCATTTAATACATCTAGTCATCTAGTCCTTTAATTCTTATTCAAAACATTTTAATGATTATAATTTTCTTAAATTCAATCACATTTAAATATCTAAAATATTTCCTTTATCTAAGTCATTTCAACTTTTTTATATTACTCATATCAAGAAGGAGAAGAAAAAAGGGGGGAAAGCATACTATATTATTTAGGGAGTTCATTCCTCTTATAATGACATATATATTCCAGATCTTTTCCACTTCTTTAACCATATTCAAACAAATGTTTATTTTTAAGTATTCTCTCTGATAGATCCCATCATCTATTTTCTTGATTTCCACTTTAGTCTTTTTCCTTTGCCCAGTGTCTTTCTTAATCAATGTATTTTGCTGAATCAAAAGGTTTTTCCATATGTTCATAAATGTTACTGTAGATTTAAAAAGTAAATCAAGTGAAGTGTCTTTGTATGGGGCTTCTGCCTTTCCATGTTTGTTGAAAATCTTTTTTCTTTTTCTTTCTCTCTTATCATTTCCTTTCTTTCCAATGTTCCTGACATCTCTACAGTCCATTTTATCAAATCTGTTTTCTTGTCCTCAGATTTGTTTTGTAATCTTAAGGGTTAAGTTGGTTTTTTCCAATTCTTCTGAATTTTTCCCACTAGGATTAAATCGTATTTCCTTGTTTTGTTAAGTTCCATCTTTAAGTCTCTATTCTCAATTCCTTAACCATTTATCTGTTTTATCTGCTCCTTCTCTGTTGTTGTTTTCTGGGAATTTTTTTGTTGTAGAGTTAACTTGGAAATAAATTGATTTATATTTTCAAAGTTATTTTGGATTTCTTTGTCATTTAAAATAGTTGTTGTTTGAATTAGTTGCAGAATACTATATATCTCCTACTGTGAATTATTTATATTTTCTTGATACGCTCTTTCTACATGTCTCTGATCCATGAGAGCCAAGAATTTGACTTTTTCTCTTCATTCTTTTCTCTGCAAATAGCTTTAGAGTCCCAATTAGATAGCTATTTATAATACAAATACTTAAAAAAAAGATTTTTTTTCTAAAATTTATAATTATCTCTTTGTCTACATTCCAGATTATTATCTCTTTTTTGTCACAGTTGTTCCTTGCTGTTAAAGCTTTGAAGGTCACAAACACAGATTAGCTTTTTCCAGGTTTTGCCAAGTCTTATATTAAAGTCATAGCTGTCATAGTCTTCATCCACCACTAGATATCAGCAACTATTTGTTTTTTAATTTCTAAAATGAACAATTATCTTTAAAATGAGAGCCTTAACCATTCAACAATTTTAGATTTATCCAGATTTAAGTTTTAAATTTCAGGTTTTATATTTATTTCACTTCCATATATTTTGATCCTCCGTAAAAACATTAATTCGCCACTTCCATTAGTATAAGGGTGGATCAGAAATCCCCCTCCTTCACTTTGGAAGGTATTTTGCTTCTTGGGCATTTTTTCCAGGAAATTAAATGTAGAATAGAAAAGAGAAGATCAAATTCCTCACCCAGTTTCAAGCACACTATTCACAGTTGTGCTGGTTAGTACTTTTGGACTTCAGTTGCTAGTAGCTTTGGCTGGTCAATCCAATATGGCCAGCCATTCTACTGTCAGGTTACAAGGCTTTCCCCAAGTTGAACAGAATGGCCGACGCCATTCCAGAGTTGCTGGAGAATCCTTTTTTCTTCGCCGCCTCTCCGGGGCAACTTAGATCCATTTAGGGTCCCCTGGCAGGGCAAAATTAGCTGTGAAGGTGCGGAGAATGCACAAGCCCGCGACCAGTCGCTACCGCAGAAAACCAGAAGCAACTTTTAATCTGTGGACTTCAACTCCCAGAATTCCTCAACCAGCCATAATGGCTGAGGAATTCTGGGAGTTGAAGTCTCCAAGTCTTAAAGTCCCAGGTTTGAAAACCCCTGAGCTAGCTGGTAGTGGTGCATATTAATAAACATGGATAAATTCATAATACATTTGTCATTGCAAAGGAAAAGTGATTCAGCAAAGGAACAGCCACCAAAGAAATAAAAACTGGTACTTTTTTCCTTTTTTTCTACAGTTTGTAACATTTTATTAGATTATAGAATAAAACACAAAAATACAAAGCAAATAGTAGGACACAGTGGGGAGGAAAAAGGGGGGAAAGTGAGGGGAGAAGGGAAAAAGAACAGACTTCCTCTGTTGCAGTAAAAGGAACCATTAACATTAAACCTCAACTTTTTACTTTTCCATAATATTATAAACTAGCCATTTCTATAACAACAAATGAATCTAATCAGTAAAACCCAAAATCCCCCCCCCCCCCTTTTTTTTTAGTCATCAGGTTTTTGATACCTTGCTAAGCACTGCTGGTACTCAAATATTGTCATGTCCTAAAAGTGGTACAATCTGTGAAAAGTTTGAAAAGCCCTGCTCTTGGTAACCTTGACTCCTGATGACTCCATGAACAAAAAGGTGCTTTGGAAGTGAGGGAATACAGATGTGGTTTCCCACTGCCTTCTACTGAAACACTTTTTAAACATTTTAGAAACTTAAAAAATCCCCTTTCTACTCTAGTATTTAGGCATATTATCTGGCAGTCTCTCATGCAAGTATTAATTGGGCTTGGTCCTCATTAGTTTGGTGCTGTGATTGATTTTGCATTAAGATATTACAGTGTCAAAGTCATATATGTAATAAATTGCAAATCAGATCAAAGACCTAACCATTTTTTCCTGTGATTCATGACTCAGACATTGTAGCAGTTGCCCTCCTTCAGACTGACAGGATCATAAGGAAATGAAGCACCACACATAAAATCTCCCTCATTTCATGCATCAATTATATCCACAGGCAGCATCAGTGCAGTTGAGAATTCCCTACAGTTCCTACCTGGCGAGCCAGTAGTATGCCATGAAGGTCTTGAATCCCATTAAAGGAACGTACATGAGACACATACGGAAATTGTAGAATAAAATAATAATAAGTTCCTGCCAAAAAAAGGGAGAGAGTTAAAAAGTATGAAAAAATGTTGTGTTTGTCAGTTTCCTAATTGCTTTATGCAAATAGGTTGATTTTAAAATACTTTACGTTATATGATGCAGATCACTTAGTTTAACAAAGAGCTGAAAGATCATATTTAAAAGAAAGTTATTGCACTGTAACATAGAACAATAGCAGAACAATTCGTTGGTCAGTTCTGCCCTGGAAATTACAAATATTACAAGTGAGAGCATGCAGCAATCTATGACCATTGGGCGCAACAGAATGTGCACACCCACTTCATGCCGCCCCCAGCTGCCCCTTCCTCATTGCTCTTCCCCTGCGACTTGTCCCCTGTCACTCCTCCCCCCCCAAACCCTGGGCAATTGGCTGCAGGACAAATTGCCATGGCCAATTCACCATGCAGGACAATTAGCCATGTGTCCCTCTGCACTTTGCGGAGCAGGTTCAATAAAGCTGCAAGGAATAACATCAGCATCAAGTAGGGTGGGGAGGGCCACTGCCTGCTTCTCCTTCAGCTGGGTGGGTGGGCTCACCCTCCTCTCCTGCAGTAGACCCCATCTCTGCCCACTTGACAAGTCGCATCAGCTTTTACAAGCCAGAACCCACCACAGTTCCTGTCCAACTTCCCCCCTCCCTTGCCAGGTAGGAACTATAGAGAATTCTCAACTGCACTGATGCTGCCCCTGGTTTTGAGGCTCCCTTCAATGGGGGATTTCTTGGGAGGGGCTCAGGGGCTCTACAGCAGTGGTGCTTTCTCTCCCCCCTTGGCAACTTTTAGAGCTTGGACTTCAATGCGGCCTCAAAAGCCAATGGGAGTGCTGGTGATGGCCCCTCTCACTCCAAGGAAACCTCCTCAGAAAGAGCAAGTGCCACCACCTCACTCTGTTTCTCCAGTTCCTGGCCCAGTGTCTCTCTACAGAAGCAGCTGCCATGCAGCAAAATGGCCCAAAGTAGCAGCAAGAACACCCCTGAAGTGCCTGAAGAAGGGGCAGAAGGCTTAAGCGCTGCCTTGTCTCATAACTGTGGCCATACAGGGCAGACGCTCCTGCAAAGATGCCATGGGGAGACTTCACTGTGTTTCTTGCTCTGCTTTCCCTCAGAAGCAATCCGGATCCTACAGCACTGGAACCTGGAGAAGCAGCAGCCACAAGGGCAGGTGGCCCACTCTCAAGATCACTTCCTGCCCCACCTGGCACCCTCTCTGCATGCCACATCCAATGGGAAGGTAGAGGCCTACCTCTTGTTGCATGGATTGTCCTCCGGGACACGTGGCTAATTATCCCATGCGGGCAAATCAGCCACGGTGATTTGTCCTGCTGCCAATTGCCCAAGGTGAGGAGGAAGGGGAGGAGTAATAGGGGAGAAGCGGTGGGGGGGGGAGCTGGGGATGGATGCCCACGGTGGGATGGCTGGGGTGGGGAAACTGATGTGAAGTGGACAGGGCCAAGTGTCTGTGCTAATTGTCCCATTCTGGCATGCAGGACTTAAAATTAATCATCATAAAATTTTATGGACCGCTTGATTTCTAAAAGAAAGCCACACTCAGTGGAAAAAAGGAATTTCAGCTCTTGTGGTAGGGTTTCATCCACTTATTCAGTTTCATATACCTGTTCCAGGTGCCATCAACACATATATCTTCTCATTGTTGCAAATTTAGGTTTGGGCTCCCTAATAGCTACCTGTCTTGTAGTAATCCCCTCCAATAATAGCTCCAAAAACATGATCACAGCAGATTTCCTGTTGTATAGTAGCCCACCAAAAATGAATAAAATAACATCTCTCCTCTATGGATGGTTTATTGCCTTCCAAAGGTATAGATCTCTTAGAACTGCATTCTGCCTGTTAAGAAGAAAAGATTTCTGTGTTTTGCAGTTGCAGCATAACTCTCAGAGAGAAGAAAGAGAACCCAAAATATCTCTGTAAACCAAAAATGCATGGCAATTTTTGTTTACATTTTAGAAGGAGGAGAGAGAACAATTTGGTTGAGGCATTTGTCGCTGGTTGGGTGGGCAAGGAGGGAACCCCTGCCCCCTTTGTCTTGACCTCAGATCTGAGCTGGTTCTGATGGGAGCTAGTTTTGAGGACATAGTAGAAATGTATACAGCTAAAACATTAATGCTATCCTGTGTCTCCAGTGTCTGGAAGAAATTGGAATAGTATCTCTGTCACCAAAACAATGCCTCATTCTTTTTAATGAAGCCTCCTTTTGGTGAGCAATGATGACGCAGTCACTGTTCCAGTTCCCAGATACCATGTTTCCCCCGAAATAAGACCCAGTCTTATTTTTATTTTTTTGCACCAAAAGATACAGTAGGGCTTTCTTTAGGGGAAACATGGTATAGGATGTTCAGCCCAGCTGGGCATCCCACCCCCCAGCCTGTGCAAAAGAGGTGGCAAATCTGTAGGGGCTGAGGGTGTCCAGCAGCAGTCGCAGCCCATCAGCCCCTTGGCACAGCACAGGTACGTCTGAGCACAGAGGCAGATGCAGGATGGGAGGTAGATGTGAGGATCAGGTGGTGGCACCAGCAGCAGGCAGAGGCAAGGGCATGGGGGGAAGCAGGTGATCTGAACATGCTATGCGGACAGATCGACTTCCTCCTCCCCATGTCTCTGCCTCCTTCTGCTGCCTATGCTGACAAAAGCCTTCCACAAGCTTCCTGTGAGCCAGGCAAACACACAGCATGATTGGATCACCTGCCTCCCCCCCATGCCTCTAACTCCATGCCTCTAACTCCACCTGCCATGCTGTCCAGATCACCTGCCTTCCCCTGCCTCTGCCTCTGTACTTGGACTTACCTGTGCTGCTCATGCTATGGCTACCATCAGGCCTCCTGTGCTTGCTGCCTCCTGTGCTGGCTACACCCAAACACACACGGGCTTTTGGGGGGGTTATATTAGGAGCACACTAAAAAAAAACAGGCTAGGGCTTATTTTCTGGGTGGCTCTTATTTTTGGGTATATACTGTCCCATAGCAGAAGGTATTGTGTCTGCATGTCGGTCAAGTACTTACACTCCACAGTTTCTTCTGAACAACATAGCGAAGTACGAGTAACTGCACAAAAGTAATGAATGTTAAGGGTGCCAGTACTGGAAAAAATGAAAGCAAGAAAGCAAATATGTGTGAATCATTCGAAATTATATGCATTTCTTATATGCTTCCTCCTTCCTCTCACATTTTCTACTCACTAATTAATTACTACTACAGATTTCCTCCATTTGCTGGGCCATCCACTCCATGTCATTGCCACACTTCATGTATGGTGGATTAGAACTCCAGTTTTCCAGGAGTTATGGTCTCACATCTGAAGTGATTCATTTGGGAGAAAAACTGAATACTTTTATCAAAGCAATTCGACCTTTGATTCCAGATATTCCATTTTTCTCCTAAACTTCCACTGATTAATTTATTTAGCCAATTTATATAATTGCTCCTCTGAAAAAAATGTGAATCTGAGTCACTTACATAGTAACAATTAAAACCATGTAACCATTCAAGAAACATCAAATATAAATAAAAACAAAAATAAAAATACATGAAAGTCCCCAAACCAGCTGGAGAACAACTAAACCTCAGAAACCCCTTTGAAGGCTCTCCACAGGATGGCCAAGATTGATGGAAGAACTGATGCTGGTGTTTTAGAGTTGGACTGACTTTTTGGTGCAAAATAGCAGAAGTACTCACAGCTAAAATATTTGTGCTGGTGCTGGTAAGGCATGTATTTCTTTTTCTTTTTTCCAAGCTGCAGGAGAAACACAGTAGTTTAATGAAGGGCAAAATAAACCATTCTTCAGGATAGATTTAATAGCCTCTCTTCTTCACAGTTCAGCTCAAGAATTGTAAAAGGTGATTGGTTCTCCTCATTAAGGACAGATTTTGTCCATGACTTTGCATTTGAGGAGACTTGATCCATCTCATCTGAACAAAAGTGGATACCAGGGACAGGAAACGTGTCTATATCTAGTAAATGAAGAGTGCAGTAATATTTGCAGTAATATTTTTGTGCTCCTGGAAGCTCATAAATGTTGTGAATGATATAATAATACCATACAAATCAGAACAACGAAGTTTTTTTTTGAAGTGTCTTTGTATTTAGCAGGATAAGTTCAGACTGGGTAGTTTTAGGAAGTTTTTTTTAATTTGTCTCTTGAAAATCTGCAGCAAATGGCATTGCGCATGTTGCTGAATCTCAGTGGTGGAAAACTGAAGGTTTGGGAAGCTTCAAAAGAAAAAGATAAAGGGGAATCAGGCACCACATGCAGCTTACAAGCCCCTGAGCTACCTGTTGTGTCCTGAGCCTGCAAATGTGGGCTCGGGACATTGCAAGGCTCCCAGGCAATTGCAGAAGCTGCCCAGGACCAGACTGAGTGGCGCCAGCCGAGCGCACATGCGCAAGGCGTGAAAAGTGCTCAAAAATGTTGCCATCTTGTCCGGGGATTGGGAGCATATAAAAGGAGGACTGCGTGCCTTTGCTCATTGTTGTTGGAGTTGTAAGTAAGCACAATAAAGAGCTGTTTCAGAGACATGCGTATTCTTCATTCGCCATCGCTCCCAGGACTTAACACTGGCGACGAAGGTGGGATGCTTAACAAGGAAACCTAGAAGGAAGCTTTAAGACTTACCCACAAGAAGTCCTGGAAGGGAAAATGGCGTTAGATTCAGCAGCTATCCTGCCAGTACAGCGTCTCTGGAGGGTGAGTTTGGCTGAGAAACCCTTTCCCTGCAGAAGCGAGTGGTGAGGCATGAACTACAATGGCGAAAATCAACCATTTGTCAGAATTTGACGTTGCGCATTCAGAACATTGGGAATCATACGTTGCAAGAGTAGAGAACTATTTTAGGGTTAACCAAGTTCGCGAATATGGGCTGAAGGCTGCAACGTTGTTGTGTGTATGCGGCCAAGAGACCTTTGAAATTGCTGAAAACCTCGTGGCTCCTGCTTCTCTGGAAGGCGTAACATACACAGACTTAAAGAAACTTCTAAAGGAACATTTTCAGCCCAAGCTGTCCGTCATTGCATGGAGGCACACATTTGAACAAAGGGATCAGAGGGCAGGAGAATCTGCTAAGGACTTTATCGCAGCATTGAGGTGAGCAGCCAGACCATGTGAATTTAAAAATTTAGAGGAAAGACTGCGTGATCATTTTGTGTGTGGACTGAGAAATAGAGACTTACAGCAAAGGATCTTTGCGAAAGAAGACATTTCATTCCAAGATGCTCTGCAAGAAGTTACAGCAGAGGAAGCAGCAGGTGGAGCAGTAAAGAACATGCGGCCACCCAGAAGCTCTTCAGAGACTGTTGCTGTACACCAGGAGAATGTGCAAGAAGATTCAGAAGAGTTTCCTGAAGATGAGGTGAATAAACTCTACCAGGCGGCCGGAAGGAGACAGAGGGATCGTATAGAAAAGGCTTCAATAACTCCACAATGCTTTGGATGCAGAGGACGCCACACAAGAGCAGACTGCTGGTTCCGGTTCGCTATTTGCAGGGCCTGTGGAAGGCAAGGCCACATTGCAGCTGTATGTCTGAGTCGTCAGAAGGTACAAACTAAAGAAGAATTGCATCAGAAAGGTACCAGGGTCCCCAGCCAAAATAGGGTGGGTTTCTGCGCAACACACAGAAGTATTCTAAGGACAGGCACACATAAACCCTTAAAAAAGAAGTTGTCCCTTAAAGTAAAGTTGCAAGGGGTTCCCTTATCCATGGAATTGGACACTGGGTCCGCTCTTTCCATAATTTCCCTCAACACTTTCACGAAGATTTGCAGCAGCAGTGGCCTTCGAGTGAAACTCAGGCCATCCACTGTGATACATACAGACTTTCAGAATTCTAAGGTGTGTGTTAAGGGGGAGGCCACTCTTAAGGTATAGTACAAGAATTTTGAGGGTCCTTTAGATGTGTTGGTTGTTGGGGGTGATCAGGCGAGTCTTATTGGACTCGACTGGTTTGAGGCTCTGGGAATTCGGGTCACGGGGCTGCACCATTTGCAAACGTCTAGTCTTGCAGAAGTTTGCAGGGAATTAGCTCTGAACTTGGAACCTACAAGGGGCCTCCAGTTTCACTAAGATTAGATCCATCCATTGCACCCATTAGGGTCAAGCCTAGGAGAGTTCCATTTGCACTTAAGAACAAGATTGATGCTGAACTAGACAAATTGCTCCAGCAGGGCATTCTAGAGCCTGTAGATTCTAGTCCTTGGGAAACCCCTGTAGTAATGCCTTTAAAGGCTAAGGGGGACATTTGTATTTGTGCAGACTACAAGTGCACAGCAACATGCTTATCCTGTACCTGTAGTAAGTCACATTCTGGCTTCCCTAAAGGGGTGGGCATATTTTTGCGAAGCTTGACCTGGCACAGGCCTATTAACAGTTGCCTGTTGATGAGGCAGCTGCTGAGGCTCAGACAATTGTGACCCATAGAGGAGCTTTTAAACTGAAGAGATTGCAATTTGGGGTAAATGTAGCCCCTGGCATTTTCCAGAGTATTATGGAGAACACACTGAGAGGTATTCCAGGAGTCTGTCCATATTTTGATGATGTCCTCATTGCAGGAGAATCACCTCAAAACTTGGCTGAGAGATTGAGGGCTGTCTTGCTTCATTTTAAGGAAGCAGGCCTCAAGTTAAAAAAGGACAAGTGTAAGATAGGAGTCAATTCTACTGATTGTTTGGGATTCAGCAGGCCCCAAGCCCTAAGTCTAAAGGGGAACTACAAGCCTTTTTGGGACTACTAAATTTTTACCATGTCTTTCTGCCAAACAAAGCTGCTATAGCTGAATCATTGCACAGGCTCTTAGACAAACAAGCCTGTTGGCAATGGACTAAGGTCCATGAAAAAAGTTTCAATGAGGTTAAGGCCTTGCTTACTTCTAATGCTGTACTGGCTCACTTCAATGAGCTATTACCTGTTTGCATTGCCTGCGATGCTTCTCCATATGGAGTGGGGGCAGTTCCTAGCCACCTGTTGGCTGATGGGACACAGGTCCCTGTGGCTTATTATTCCAGAACCCTATCTTCTGCAGAGCGTAATTATGCTCAGATTGACAGGGAAGCGTTGGCCATTGTGGCTAGCCTTAAGAAATTTCATGATTTCATTTATGGCCATCATTTCATGGTCTACACTGACCATAAGCCACTGCTAGGGTTGTTCACCATGACCAAACAGTCCCCACAGCAGCATATGACTACTGCTTAATTCACAAGCCTGGAAAGGAAATGGGTCATGCTGATGCTTTGAGTAGATTACCCCTTCCAACACTGGAACTTGATCCTGCTCCTGCCATTAATATTCTGTCCATTCAAGAGCTGCCTGAGTCTCCCCTCAATGCAAGGAATGTGGCTGCAGAAACTGCCACTGCTCACATGTGTTCTGTCATGGGTGTTGTCAGGATGGCCTGATAGATGTCCTGATACTGAGTTTCAGAGTTTCTGGCAAAGAAGACATGAGTTGTCCACTTTCAAGGGTTGTCTGCTATGGGGAAGTAGGATAGTAATCCCTACCTCATTGAGGACTAGAGTGCTGCATTCTTTACATGAGGGACACCCTGGCATAGTCAGGATGAAGGCACTTGCACGCAGCCACTTGTGGTGGCCTAGCCTTGATAAAACCATTGAGGCCCTAGTACATGGGTGCCATGTGTGCCAACAGTCCCGGCCTAAAATGCCTCAGGCCCCAGTTCATAGATGGGAGGAAACTCAAACCCCATGGTCTAGGGTACATATAGATTACACTGGGCCCTTTCAGGGGCAATTCTTCTTGGTTGTTGTTGATAGCCATTCTAAGTGGCTAGAGGTTGTTCCTGTGTCCTCCACTACTGCTGCCAAGACTATCCAGGTGCTGAGAAGTATTTTTGCAACTCATGGCCTTCCAGATGTTCTAGTTTCGACAATAGTCCTCAATTTACCTCTTCTGAGTTCCAAGTTTTAATTCAGGCCAACATGATCTGCCATGCAACTTCTGGAATGGCTGAACATATGGTGTACACCACCAAGGATGCCTTTAAGAGACTGACTTACGGTGACTGGCATCACAGGTTAGCAGACTTTCTTCTTGCACATCGCACCACACCTTGCATTGCCACTGGGAAGAGCCTGGCTGAACTTCGCTGGGGTCGCCAACTCATTACTAAGCTGGATAGACTGCACCCTGACCAGGTAGTGTCTCATTGGTCACATCCACGGTCACCACGGTGTCTCCAAGTGGGTACTCCTGTTTGGACCAGGAATTATGGGCCTAGTCACCCGTGGGTCCCTGCTGTCATCTGCAATGTCTCTGGACCTCTGTCCTATGAGGTGTCACTGGACGACGGCCACGTCCTGAGGTGGCACATCGATCAGCTGTGTGTGCGGCTGGATTTGCACCCTTCTGCTCCTGGTTCTGCACTGGGGGGGGAGGAAGGTCATAGAATGCATTCTGGGGATCAATATCAGCAGCCAGTGCCAGCAGCTGAAGAGAGAGTTGATCCCCCATCCCAAGATTCCGCAAGTGCTCCAAACAAGAATTCATGGGGCAGAGAATTACCCTACACACCTAGATGCACTCCAACCAGGGAGTCGCCCCAGGGGCATCTACATATTCCATATAACAACAGTGACACTCCATACAAGGAGGCCAACCGGGGGTATTCACAGAACTCACAGAATATGCAAGAACTGACAACCCAGCTAGGAAGCAGATTCAGTTCTGCTACTGCTTCCAAAAGGAGGTCCTATGTAAGAGGGGCAAGCAGAGAGACCTCTCCTGACCCTGGCACCTCAGGCATGACCTTGGGGTCCGCCGAATACTGGGACCCCTTACACACACCTGTTTCACAGGGCATGTCCAAGAACGGTCGCAGGTTTGAGGACATAGGTTCTCAGGAACCATCCAGATGAGTTCTGGACTTCTCAGCCCACTCAGAAGGTTGGGAAAGTGCAGCTGCCCTCACAGAGCCTGGGGAAAACTCTGGCAATTCTGTCAGTACGCCCTACCAGGGGTCACCTGCAAAAACCTGTGCATAAAAGTCCTGGTGTAGCGAGCTCATCAAACCGGCCGGTAGGCCAGGTACCCTTAAGGTCAAGTCCTGGTCTGTCCAGTCGGCCAGGGGAACTGTCAGGCCAGGCACCCTCCCTAATTCTGCATAGGTCTCAACAGGTTAAGGCTTCTCCTAAACACCTAGATGAGTATGTAAGGTTATTGTCAGCCTAAGAACAGTACTAGTCTATGGTGAGGAGATGGAACCTATGTGGGTGGCAATAGAACCTGTGAAGCACACATTAGAGAGTGGCAAACAAGTTGTAGTAGAATCGAGTGTCAGTAGAATGGAAAAACAAAATGATTACCGTAAATGCCGGCGTACAAGGCGACCCGGCGTATAAGACGACCCCCGTCTTTATAGCCGGGCCGCATTCCTAGAACGTCGTCTTATACGCCGGAAACTACCAGTATTTCCGGCGTATAAGACGACTCGGCGTATAAGACGACCCCCGTCTTTGGCGCCGATTTCAGCGCTCGCGGAAGTCGCCTTATACGCTGGCATTTATTAAATATATATTTACATTTTGTATGGATTGTAAGAACAAGTACCGTGTGTGTTCTAGCTAAGGGGGGAGGGTTGTTGTGTCCTGAGCCTGCAAATGCAGGCTCGGGACATTGCAAGGCTCCCGGGCAATTGCAGAAGCTGCCCAGGACCAGACTGAGTGGCGCCGGCCGAGCGCACATGTGCAAGGCGCGAAAAGTGCCTAAAAATGTTGCCATCTTGTCCGGGAATTGGAAGCGTATAAAAGGAGGCCTGTATGCCTTTGCTCGTTGTTGTTGGAGTTGTAAATAAGCACAATAAAGAGCTGTTTCAGAGACATGCATATTCTTCATTCACCATCGCTCCCAGGACTTAACACTACCTGTGTCTGATTACAAGTTGTTCAGGCATTCATAATTTTTTGAATATGATTATCTAAACTTTACTCACCTCCACAGAGAGGGACTTCCCTAAGCTGAAGACAAATGGGTGCATACTGAGATCAGGATCCTTCTGGAAACAGTTGGGCTTGGCATGATGCTGGTTATGCATGTCATTCCACCAAGACTTTGGCCCACCCTGTGTAGAAAATGTAGAAATGCATACATACATTCCAGTCTTCATTTCTTCTTTGGAAGAGCTAGTATTACCATGTAAGTTATACCTGATCTAGCTGCTTTCCCCTGCCCACAATCCCCTACCCCAATTGCTGGCACATTAGAAAAATATAGAAATACAAAAGTGAGCAAATAGAGAAACTATGGAACCATCTTTTCCATTTTCAAGGGCATTGGGCTAATGGGACGCAGCATCTTCAGCTAATGATTCCAGCATGACTGATGGTGTAAAAAAGGAACTACACTAAAGAAATTCCGTGATGTGGACTTAGAGGCATTAATTATCAATTGCAAACCATTTATTCTCCACAAGAGTTTTCCACATTATTTGCAACATACATTTTGTCCACAAGCTTGCATAAACAATGCATTACAAACTCTGGCTGACCAGATTCTGTGGCTGAACAGAAATATCCAGATTTACTCCTCATTGTGTTAGGAGATTTCAACAGTGCTAATTTAAACCAAGAGCTACCAAGATGCTTTCAGCATGTCAACTGTCACAGAGGCAAGAATACAAACCACTGCTACACAACATTAAAAAGATGCTTATATTGGTCTTTACCATGAGCAGCTGTGGGACACTCTGATCATTGTATATGATTCACAACGGAAGCAAAGTTAAAGCTACAGGTTTAGAATGTTTTTGAAGATACCTCTACAGACTTGGATGAACTCACAGATACTGTAATATCACATGTTAGTTTTAGTGAAGACCTATGTGTGCCAACCAGAAGCCTGTGTGAATACACAATAACAACAAGCCTTGCTTCACAGCTAAACTCAAGCAACTATGTTGTGCCAAAGAGGAAGCTTATAGGAAAGGAGATAGAATGCTGTACAATCAGGCCAGAAATATATTAACAAGAGAGATCAGCTACTCTGAAAAGCTGAGGAATCAGCTCTCAACAAATGAACCAGAAAATGTGTGGAAAACTCTTTAAAATATCACTGGTTACAGCAAGCAACTTTTCCATGTTGAAGGGAATCGATAACTGGCAGATGACCTGAATGTGTTTTACTGTAGGTTCGAGGGGAAACCACTGTCAACTCTTGCCACATCTCCATCTCAGATACACCAACAGCCAAGCCTCCTACAACTGACCTCATCTCTTTGAGCCCCCCATCTCTGGTGATCACAGAAAAAGATGTGCGAGATCTATTTCACAGATAAAAGCCTGGAAAAGCACCAGGCCCAGACAAGGTAACTCCTTGCTTGAAAGCTTGTGCTGATCAATTGGTCCTCATCTTCATCCACATCTTTAATAAATCACTAGAGATGTGTTATATTCCTTCTTGCTTCAAATGCTCTCCTATCATCCCAGTGCTGAAGAAACCCTCCTTCAAGGATCTGAACGACTACCGGCCAGTTGTTCTGACATCCATAGTTATGAAAACCTTTGAAAGGTGAGTGCTGGCCTACCTGAAAACCATCACAGATCTGCTGTTAGACCCCTTGCAGTTTGCCTACCAAGCAAATAGATCAGCAGATGATGCTGTTAATATGGCTCTGCACTACATCCTACAATATGTTGAATCTCCAAGGACTTTTTGTAGTTCAGCTCGCCATTCAATACCATCATTCCAGATATTCTTCTCACTAAACTGATTCAGCTAGCTGTTCCTGATCACAATTGTAAGTGGATCATAAGCTTTATAACAGATAGAAAGCAGCAGATGAAGCTAGGCAAAATCACATCAGATACCTCTATGTTAACAGGGCTGTGTGCTCTCTTCACTTCTCTTTCTATTCCAATGACTGCATCTCAAAGGATTCCTCTGTTAAAGTACTGAAGTTTATGGCTGATACAACAGTGATTGGTCTCATTCGAGACAATGACAAATCTGCATACAGACGGAAAGTTGAACAACTTGTGGTGCAGCCAGAACAATCTTGAACTGAATACACTCAAAACTGAGAAATGATAGTAAATTTTAGGAGGAGCCCTCCTATTCTACCACTCTTACAATACTAGACAACACAATATCAACAGTAGAGACCTTCAAGTTTCTAGGTTCTATAACATCTCAAGACTTAAAATGGACACCTAACATCAAAAAAGCACAACAAAGAATGTTCTTCCTGCACCAACTCAGAAAGGTCAGACTGCCCAAGGAACTACTGATACAGTTCTATAAAGGAATTATTAAGTTTGTCATTTGTACTTCTATAACTGTCTGACTTGGCACTGCAACCAAACAAGAACAGACACAGACTTCAACGGATGGTTAGAACTGCAGAAAAAACAATTGCTACCAGCCTGCCTTCCATTGAGGACCTGTAATACTGCACGAGCCAGAAAGACAGCTGTGAAAATATCTACAGACCTCTCATATCCTGAACATAAACTGTTTCAAGTTCTTTCCTTCAGGCGACCTGTAGGTCATTAAACATCAAAATAACTAGACATAAGGACAGTTCCCCCTCCCCCATGCCATTACTCTGCTAAACAACTAATTCTCACAACACTATCAAAATACCTCTATTATTATCCTTCTCATTCTTCCTTATCTGTTTCCTTATCTTCTTATGACTATAACTTTGTTGCTTGTATCATAATTTATATTGATTGTTTATTTAGTAGCCTTGTATGATTTATTTTGATTGCTTATTTAGTCTGTAGTCTAAACGTATCCACAAGTACTTGAACAATGAGGCTCGTACTCATTGTTTACTATACCACTCTTTCTCTATTCTACTATAATTTCTGTTACTTTATTACTTCTCTTTGTGAGCCCTATTTCTCAAAAACAGTAACTATTCTATTTGCCCTATGCTGCTTCAGGATGTTTTAGTTTCCAAAACAAACACAAACCACTTTTCCTCCCATACCACAACAACACCACTCCATCTGTTTTCCTCTCTGCTCAGCTTTTTTGGATATCAATTGCTGGATTGGCTAGGGAGAGGGCTTAAAGCAGGCATGTCAAACTTCTGGTCCATGGGCCAGATGTGTCACGTGGAAATCGCACCCACACCATTGCTGGCAATGGGAAAAAAGTGACATTGTGAGTTTGACATGCCTGGCTTAAAGGGACAGAGCACCAGCAACTCAGAAATTGGCCATTTTGCAGGCAGTTTGTCCTCTCAGAGGAATCCAAGGAAGTTTTTGCCAGATGTAGAAATAATAGATCTGTTTATTGACAAAATTTCTATACGTCAGTTACAAAAGGTCTCATTTGTTGAATCTGTACATATATTATGCCAATACATTATAACATCCTAAAATTTGGGGGGAAATGTTATGTGTATGAAAGACAACATGAGCTAAAGAACTAGCAGCTCTGATTTCACATTGTTATGTACATAATGTAGTCATTGATAAATACTGTAACAAATTTTAGCACAGATATAGCAATAGAATTTGGCTTAAAAAAATGTGCTAGAGTCACAATAAAGCGGGGTAAAATCACAAATATTAATGGAACTGAAGCACCAAATGTCCCAACCATCAGGAGCCATTAGAATGAAGTCTACAAATATCTGAGTACTTCACAGTTGGATAACATCAAGTACAGACAAATTAAAAATGTGATTAGTTAACAATACATCTAAAGAGTGAGAAAAGTACTAAAGATAAAATTGAATGGCGGAAACACCATCAAAGCCATCGAGACTTGGGCCATCCCTGTGATACAATACACTACTGGAATTATTAACTGCACACAAGTTAAACTGTACAATTGGGACTGAAAAACAAGAAAACTGATACTATTCACTATGAGTTTTACACACACACACACACACACACGTAGTGGAATTGATAAATTATACTTGTTCTGCAGAAATAGAAGCAGAGGCTTACTTCAAGTCAAAACTCCTGACAAAGATGAAAACCATATAGCTGATTATGTAAAAGATAGCCAAGAACAAGCATTGATCCAAGTTAAAGTTGGAACTTACAGAAAGCACAGAAAACAAATATCAAACTAGTGTAATAAAGACAGAATATAATGCTGACAAGGAAAAGTATTACATGGTTAATTTCTACAAAAGGTTGGGGGAAAGGTGGTTAAAGATAAAACCTGGCAATGGCTTACCAACTGGAATATTAAAAAAAAGAAACTGAAGGCTTGACTTTGGCTGTTTAAGAGCAAGCTATTTGAATTAATGCAATTGAGGACAGAAGTGAAAAATCATCAAATGATTCACAGTGCAGATTGTACAAAGAAGCAAAACAAACAGTATAATATATACCCAGCTCATGCAAGAAGATCACACAAACTGACTATAAACAAAAACACAACACATTTGTCAAAATGATTCACTGGAACATCTGTAAAAATTGTCATGTGCCAGTAATGAAAAATTGGTGGCACATAATACAATTGAAAAAGTAGTTGAAAATGAGCAGGTTAAAATATTGTGCAATTTCCAAATTGATAAAGTCTTGGCTCATAATACAGCAGATATAACTGCAAATGAAAAGAAGAAAGCGTGGATAATTGATATGGCAATAACCAGGGAATAGTAGAATAGAAGACAAAGAACTGGAGAAGATCACAAAGTATCAATATTTCAAAATCAAAATCGAAAGATTATGGCTTAAACGCTATAGTGTCACAGTGGTTATTGCACATTGGGTGCTATACCAAAAATATTCTTGCATGGCACATTGACAAAATTTCCATCTGATAATTGCAAAAGGTCACACTGCTTGGATCCACACATATCCAATACATTATGGCATCATCATCATCGTTGTCGTCGTCATCATCATCATCATCATAATTGCAATTCTAAAACAACTGGAGCACCACTGGAACACCATTGGCATTGACAAATTCACCATTAGTCAATTGAAAAAGGTGGCCTTACTAGGAACTGCTTCCATCCTGCAACGATATCTGTAATAACATCAAACATCCACATCTGCCTATCCCAGGTCCTTGGTAAGGACTCGATAGGTAGACAAAATGCCAAATCCAGTCTGAACATCTGGCTGACTGTGCGATGATCCA